CGCCCCCCCCGACCACACCGCCCGCGCCCCAGGTTGCTGTAAGGTTGCTGTCATGGCGCTCTCAGGTTGCTGTCAGGTTACTGTCAGGGTGCCGAACGGGAGGTCTGGCCTCAGGCCAGGTTGCTGTCAAGGCCGGCTCCCCGGGCTGTCTCCGATTGTTTCCCTCTCCCTTGTGGGTGGCCTCGTCTGGGTCGCTGGGCTGTCTCCGCTTCATGCGCGGCTGGGCCATGGCGCTGCGCTTCTGGCCCGTGAGGCCCGAGGAGCAAGTACGAGCGCGGCGTAGGGCCCGTCGATCAGATTTCAATCCTCTAAGCTGTCTGTCCTACCAAATGATCAAATGCAGTGAGCGCTTTTCAACACTCGGGACCCTGCGTGGAGACGTTCCAAGTTTAAGTTTTTCGTCCATGCGATTATTCGCCTTCTCAATGACACCTTCACAAGCTACATCTAAAAGGGAGGGAGGAGGGAGTGCATTTTTGCCTCACGACGATTTGATTCTTCTAGAAATTGCCCCTGTCTAATTTTCCCGAGCCCAAACCCCCGGCTAAGTTTTATTCCCCAAACAGGATGACCCCTACAATCCCCAAACAGCTTTACTGTAGGGGATTCTGTCTCTTTCTAAGAATTCCGACCTAGCCGGATGCTCCGCGCGGATCCATCTCCGCTTGTCTCCCCTTTGTCTCCCTTCATGTGGGTGGCCTCGGCCTAAGCCCAGAGGAAGCCGGAGCAGTGCAAGCCAAAAACTCCATCAACCCAAGACCGAGACAAAGCAGGGTTCCATGTTTGAACACGCATTGACACGCATGTTTCCCCAAGAGCAGGGTGCTAGTTGAACACGCTGGACGAACATGCTAGTTTCCAGTTTCCCCAAAAGCAGGGCGCTAGTTGAACACGCTGGTTTCCCCAAAACAGGGTGCTAGTTGAACGCGCTGGTTTCTCCAAAAGCAGGGTGCTCTTTGAACATGCTGGTTTGCCCAAGAGCAGGGTGCTTTTTGAACACGCCGGTTTCTCCAAAAGCAGGGTGCTATTTGAGCACGCTGGTTTACACGCTGGTTTCCCCAAAAGAAGAAGGGCGCTAGTTGAACACGCTGGTTTGCCCAAAAGCAGGGTTATATTTGAAGACGCTGGTTTCCCCACAAGCAGGGTGGTGATTGAACACGCCGGTTTCCCCAAAAGCAAGGCGCTGTTTGAACACGTTGGTTTCCCCAAAAGCAGGGTGCTACTACACTGCAAGATGAACACGCTAGTTTCCCCAAAAGCAGAGTGCTATTTCAACATGCTGGTTTCCCCAAAAGCATGGCGCTCTTTGAACTTTTTGAACACGCTAACACGCTGGCTTACACGCTGGTTTCCCCAAAGGGTGTTATTTGAACCCGTTGACTTCCCCAAAAAAAGGGTGCTGTTTGAACACGCTCGGTCCCAAAACCCGGGTGCTAGTTAAACGCGCTGGTTTCCCCAAAGGCCGGGACAGGGTGTGTTTTGAGCACGCAGGTTTCCCCCAAAGCAGGGGGCAGGCTGGTTTTCCCAAAAGCAGGGTGCTGTTTGAACATGCTGCTTTCCCCAAAACCCGGGCGCTAGTTGAACACGCTGGCTTCCCCAAAAGCAGGGTGCTATTTGAGCACGCTGGTTTAAATGCTGGTTTCCCCAAAAACAGGGTGCTAGTTGAACACGCTGGTTCCACCTAAAGCAGGGTGCTATTTGAACACGGTTGCTCCCCAAAAATAGGGTGATGTTTGAACACGCTGGTTCCCCCACAAACAGGGCGCTAATAAGCTGGATTGCGCGCTGGATTCCCCAGAAGCAGGGCGCTATTTACACTCGCTGGTTTCCCCAACAGCAGGGTGCTGTTTGAACACGCCGGTTTCCTCACAAGCTGGGTGTTATTTGAACACGCTGGCTTCCCCAAAAGCAGGGCGCTAGGTAAACACGCTGGTTTCCCCAAAAGCAGGGGTGTTATTTGAACACGCTGGTTTTCCCACAAGCAGGGTGCCATTTGAGCACGCTGGCTTCCCCGAAACACGCTGGTTTCCCCAAAATCGTGCAAGGAGTTATTTGAACACGCTCGGTCCCCAACAGCAGGGTGCTAGTTGAGCACGCTGGTTTCCCCAAAAGCAGGGTGGTTTTTGAATACGCTGGTTTAAACGCGGGTTTCTTCAAAAGCAGGGTGCTGTTTGAATCCGCTGACTTTCCCAAAAGCAGGGTACTATAGTTACTGCTAGTTGAACACGCTGGCTTCCCCAAAAGCAGGGGTGTTATTTGNNCCAAAAGCAGGGTGCTATTTGAGCACACTGGTTTCCGCAAAAGCAGGGTGCTAGTTACACACGCTGGTTTCCCCGTTTGAACACGCTGGTTTTCGCAAAAGCAGGGTGCTATCTGAACACGCTGGTTTAAAGCAGGGTACTAACTGAACACGCTGGTTTCCACAAAAGCAGGGTGCCAGTTGGACACGCTGGTTTCCCCAAAAAGCAGGGTGCTATATGAACACGCTGGCTTCCACAGAAGCAGGGTGTTTTTTGAACACGCTCGGTCCCCAAAAGTAGGGTGCTATTTGAAGACACTGGTTTCCCCAAAATCAGGGTGCTACGTGAACAGGCTCGGTCCCGAAAAATAGTGCTATTTGAACACGCTGGGTCCCCAAAAGCCTGAGCCCGCATCTGTGGCCCCATGCGATTGCTTGATCCCTTACCGTTACCCTTATACTCCCATGCTTCTTTTTTGCGGGGGAAAGCTA